ATTTTAGTTCACATAAAAGTTTGTATAATTGTAGTTCGATGAACACCTTTGCATGCTTATCACACGTCCTGCCGTCGGGACAGCATACGCTCACCAATATGAAAGAATCAGGTGGTCCTTAACGTCTTTTGAGCAGCACATATTACTCAAACAAGGTTTTAAAGGTGTAAAGGTTCTTCTGCTAAATGGACATGTGCAAATTACTTCTAAACTTGAGGCCAGAGGCCCAGATAAGCTGCGTATCCGGGTAAAATACGCATAGAAAATTTCCAATTACGCATTGAAAAATAATTCTTGCGTACCAATTACGCATTTAAAATGTTAGATACGCAAAAAGTTTAAAACAAATGCGTACGGAATATATTAATAAAAATCGCTTGCGTTATGAAAAAGACATCGATTGCTATCAAGTTGTTCTGTTAGTATAGGATGAGTGATTTTTTATGAAATCATTTCCATTATATTTAAGTTGGTTTTGATTAGGTATGACATAAGGCAGAACATACCTGCTTAGTAAACTTACTCAATGACATAATACTTCGGTGAGTAAAATGACTGATATACGTACATATTTGAAAGCAGTGGGTAACGGAAAATGAAATACCCACTCAACAGTCATAATACCCACTCCAAAAAAATACAGTGGGTACAGTACCCACATGAGCTAAATCTTATCTGGAGCTCTGGAGCCTTTTAAAAACTCTGGCACAAATCTGACCAGGACATATGGGATTCTGACTCCTTTTCCTGTCCGTTCATTGTAACAGGAAGAAATCAGCAATCCATTACATGTGATTCAAACTGATAGCTCTCCTGACAGAGAGGTGAGAAAAACATGAATACAGTCATAAAACATGGCAGTAAAACCAGGGCATCTCACCAAGCCAGGAACAGGAGCCTGTCAATGTTAATTCCTGTAGACATCTAAGCACTTACTAATTTTGGAGGCTGAACAATCTTTATGGTAACTTTTATGGTGGGTTTATTAAATATTGGTTGTGGGCCTATTCACAAGTTACAGGATGTTTACTGGATTTAAGTTCCCATAAAGTGCCAAGATCCTTTCTACGGCTAGCATCTAAATGGTCGTGTCAGGTCATGTTGTGAATAAAGTGTGAGTTGGGTTTTATGCCGCTTTTAGCAATATTCCAGCAATATCACAGTGGGGGACGCCCAAAATGGGCTTCACACAATGTACCCATGTGGGGAATCGAACCCGGGTCTTCAGCATGACAACCGGACGCTTTAACCATTAGGCTACCCCACTGCCCCTTGTAAAATAAGAGTTGAACGAGCTATAAAAATACTGAAACTATATATTATAACATAGAAATGTCTTGAATTGATATTGTTGATTGTGTAGTTAATCTTTCAAGAGTATGTGAAATAAACATCATGACGACATGCGAAGATGTATTCTTGACAAAACTAGACCAGACCAATTTTATTTCTTGTTTTACAGACTTCTGTCCTCAGAAAACCTAAAGGCAAGAGGGGAAAGAAAAAGAAAATAAACTTTTATAAGGCCAGACCAATTTTATTTCTTGTTTTACAGACTTTTGTCCTCAGAAAACCTAAAGGCTGGAGGGGAAAGAAAGAGAAATTAAACTCTTTATAAGGCTAGACCAATTTTATTTCTTGTTTTACAGACTTTTGTCCTCAGAAAACCTAAAGGCAGGAGGGGAAAGAAAGAGAAAATAAACTCTTTATAAGGCCAGACCAATTTTATTTCTTGTTTTACAGACTTTTGTCCTCAGAAAACCTAAAGGCACGAGGGGAAAGGAAAAGAAAATAAACTCTTTATAAGGCCAGACCAATTTTATTTCTTGTTTTATGGACTTTTGTCCTCAGAAAACCTAAAGGCAGGAGGGGAAAGAAAAATCAAATCAAATCACCAGTCAATGTAATATTCCTTTTAAATGCTAAAAGTATTATGCTTTTGGCAATTTATGAAGTGTATATGGGGCAAAATACAATCTAAAAGATATATTCTTGACAAAACTAGGGGATATATATACTTGGCCAACGAAGAATATATATTCTTGACAAAACTAGGGGATATACTTGGCCAAGCAAGAAGATATATTCTTGACAAAACAAGGGAATATATACTTGACCAACGAAGAATATATATTCTTGACAAAACTAGGGCTTATACTTGGCCAAGCAAGAAGATATATTCTTGACAAAACTAGGGGATATATACTTGGCCAAGCAAGAAGATATATTCTTGACAAAATAAGGGGATATATACTTGGCCAAGCAAGAAGATATATTCTTGACAAAACAAGGGGATATATACTTGGCCAAGCAAGAAGATACATACTTGACAAAACTAGTCGATATATACTTGGCCAAGCAAGAAGATACATTCTTGACAAAACTAGTCGATATATACTTGGCCAACCTGAAGATATATTCTTGACAAAACTAGGGGATATATACTTGGCCAAGCAAGAAGATATATTCTTGACAAAACTAGGGGATAATACTTGGCCAAGCAAGAAGATATATTCTTGACAAAACAAGGGGATATATACTTGGCCAAGCAAGAAGATATATTCTTGAAAAAACTAGGGGATATATACTTGGCCAAGCAAGAAGATATATTCTTGACAAAACTAGGGTATATATACTTGGCCAACCTGGAAGATATATTCTTGACAAAACTAGTCGATATATACTTTGCCAACCTGAAGATATATTCTTGACAAAACTAGGGGATATATACTTGGCCAAGCAAGAAGATATATTCTTGACAAAACCATAAGACATGTTCTGAGAAAAAACATTGCTTAATGCTTTCACATTGCTCAAAGATAAATATGCTTGAAAAGACAACATGCATCATTTATTAAATTAGATTCAAGATTCAAGATTCAAGATTTTTTATTTGTAGAATATTTATTAAATTATTGCTTGAGAATAATCCAAACGGAAATACTCTCAGACAAAATGGGCATGAAACAGAGCAATAGACTCAGATACATGTTGTCATATTCGAGGTTGGTTATGAATACAATATGCTCTGTTCAACTCAGTTCATGCAACACGGCTTACCAAGACAGATTTATGATGCCAATTAACACCCAAAAAAGGTAGGGAATGTGAAAAAGTCCTACAATTGTGTTGGCCTCCGTCATACAGTTCAGCAGCATAAAGCACTCGTTTCATTGTTGTCAGGTTTTATGGTTGTGGTTGTTGTTTAACGCTGCACTCAGCAATATTCCAGCTATATGGCGGCGGTTTGTAAATAATCGAGCCTGTACCAGACTATCCAGTGATCAACAGCATGAACATCGATCTATGCAATGACATCATCATGTGTCAACCAAGTCAGCGAGCCTGACCACCTGATCCTGTTAGTCGACTCTTACGACATGCATGTGAAACTATCAAATCGGTAAAATTACTAAAATGTATAAAACTATTGAAACCTGTAAAATGTCCAGCATCTGCACATAATTCAAAATCTGCATAACTAGTAAACTATCTAAAAGCTTTTATAATTACCAAAACTTTTAAATTCTGAAAAAAAGCTAAAAATCTGCAAAACTAGCAATATTTGTAATATCAAACATATCGCTAAAAGGGCAGGTGGACTTGCCTTTTCAGTATAAATAACTGAAACAGAAAACAAATATCATACCACCCAAACATGCTAGAAACAGTCTTTTGGCTTTTTGCCTTAAGAGAAATTACTTACCAATTATCCATATATGGAATATGGAGTTGCCATTTTGGAGCCTCTTTCTGATAGTGGTGGTATTAGCAGTGTCAATGGAATGGTGTTCAGTGACAGTGAACGGCACAGTCCACTTCTCTGAGTGGTGTGGGGAGTCCTAGAAATGCCGCTTCATCTGAAACAGAAACCCTGTCAGTCAGGAAACCTGTGAAAACAAACTGCTACAGTGGGTGCTGGAATACAAGAATGAGTGAGTGTAGTTTTATGCCACTTTTAGCAATATTCCAGCAATATCACAGCAGGGAAAAACAGAACTGGGCTTCACACATTGTACCCATGTGGGGAATCGAACCCAGGTCTCGGCGTGATGAGCGAATGCTTTAACAGCTAGACTACCCTACTGCCCCTGGAAGACAAGAACTGGTGGTCAGTGGTGGAAAGTACACAAGATCACCGCTGTCTGTGTATCATTGCCTCATGGGTTGACTGTGATGTCATGATGTTTCTGTCCTCAGGCTGATGACGTCTTCAAAGCGGGGTGGTGGGGTAGCCTAGTGGTTAAAGTGTCCGCTTGTCACGCCCAAGACCTGGGTTCGATTCCCCACATGGGTACAATGTGTGAAACCCATTTCTGGTGTCCCCCGCCATATTGCTGGAATATTGTTAAAAGCGACGTAAAACGAAACTCACTGACTCTTCAAAGTGTTTCTGTCTGAAAACTGACGAGATATCTTACATATTTTTCTGTCTACAGACTGACGACAAGTCTTTAACATGTACTGTCATGACTGACTTTATTATATGACAGTATCTGGTATTCCTAACTTCTCTTGAACAGTATGTATACCCACCAGGGAATGTTTTCTTGTCAGTTTACATAAACTAAAATTCTCAGCTGCATAGTCTCACCAGAACTCAGAAATCATTTAATTAACAATAATGACAGCTGTCCCCGAAAACTCCCACTATTCTGGCCAATGATCCGTCACACATTCACACAGAAAACATCAAACAAGCAGGCAACAATAAAATGGCCGTCTAAATTGCCACCATAAAACTACAACATAAGGGGAGATAACTTCTCTCCATTCCTTTGTGGAAGTGTTTCAGTGAGCTGCCAATCGAGCGCGGAGATAATTCAGCGACCCCTAATTTTACCCGTAATTGCCATAATAGGGGCTAAAGAAATACGGCGGCATGATAGCCCAGCCTATAATAATGTGACACATTTTACAGTTTTTAAGCAGGAAAATTACAGTTCGTGTACAAATTGCACCCTATTTGTGTAAGATACAGCAGTGAACCATACCATTGCCTCATTTTGAAATAGTTTCATGACGCAAACGCCTGATTTTCCACCCCCACGATCTGCACTATCAAATGTAATCTGACAGGCTGACATTGTCAAAGACGTCACCTGCAAATCAAATGAACATATATTACACCGCTATGGTCATTAGTGCAGTATTTTATTGGTATCTCCTTAACTTGACTTGTACGGTACGCATCACTGTCTTCAAAATGTCGAATTTCAGTTTTAAAAAAAATTGTCTTCTGCAGTTTCAGTACTTTGAGATAACATATTAAATAGTGTTGGGAATTGGTTAAAATCTCATAATTGATGATTGTCCATTACAACATCCATTATTCAGGATTAGTTAGTTAGGTTCGATTAGTCTTTCGCCCCTATACCCAAGTTCGACGATCGATTTGCACGTCAGAATCGCTGCGGACCTCCATCAGAGTTTCCTCTGGCTTCGTCCTGCTCAGGCATAGTCCATTATTCCTGAGTCCATTATTACATCAGTCATCGAAAATAATTGGTTAGGCCTAAACAAAAAAATGTTGTGGTTCTGATTACCCGACCAACCCTTGCATTCTGGTGTCGACCCTATTTATTTTAAGCAGTATAAATAAAATAAGCTTACAGATACCATTGTTTTCCCCCCGGCACCAGCAGACATTGGTCATTCTGATAGAGAAAGTCGAGATGGCTGCAAGCTTGTTTAAAAATAAACAATTACACATTGATAAATGTGTTATTAGTTTGTACAGGTGTAATCGGAACCACAACACTTTTTTGTTTGGCCTTAACGTCATTTATCAAATGTTCCTGTTATGTTTGTTAATACACACAAAAAATAAAGAAAAAAAATGTATTTCTTTGAGGTTGCTTTATCAAATTGCACAAAATGCAGTTGCAAATGTCACATCTATAAAGGAGGACTAGTATGTTAGAAACATAATTTTCCTGGAGTCTTTAAGATAAATTCAATCATGACTTGGAAGGAACAAAAAAAAAAAAAACCTTGTGAAAAATATTGCTAATGCAAACAACTGTTCCAAAATTGTTTGTGTTTGATTATGGGTGAGGTAAGGTGAGGTGAAATTGGGTTTAACACCTTGCTTGCTAATATTTTGCTCATATGACGACGTGCATACGTGTGTATGTGTATGTGCGGCTGCTTGTACTAGCCCAGACTGAAGCTGGTTTTATAGTGCTAGCTCACTGAGATACCATGCCGCAGTGAAGCATGAATACCCCACGCAGGCACATTATACTGACTCCAAGCCGACCAGTCCTTGTTGTACCCATTAATGCCAAGCACAAGTACCATATTTTAACGTCTTTTGGTATGACGCGGTCGGGGATCGAACCCGCGACCTTCCGCTCTCCGGGCGGACGCTCTAACCACTAGAGACTGACTGAGTTTGGTTTTACGCCGCTTTTAGCAATATTCCAGCAACATCACGGCGGGGGACACCAGAAATGGGCTTCACACATTGTACCCATGTGGGGATTCGAACCCGGGTCTTCGGCATGATGAGCCAACGCTTTAACCACTAGGCTACCCCACCGCCCCTCAACAATGAAGTAATGTGGGGGAATATATAACAAAGGAACATAAACATGTGATTGTTTTCCAGTGCTGGAAACTTGCATTTGTCCTTTCACTTTCAGTAAATACCAGAATAAATATACAAAATTTAAAACAAATATATATGACACAACTTTTAAGGCTATTGTAGTCCTTTCTACCAGGATTAAATCCCCAAACCCACAACAACAAACCACAGAGACAACAAGGTAACTCCATTTCTTGGAGTGAGTGAGTGAATATGGTCTTACGCAGCTTTAAATAGTCTTTACACAATGTAGTGAGTGAGTGAGTGAGTTTAGTTTTACGTCGCACTCAGCCATATTCCAGCTATATGGCAGGGGTCTGTAAATAATCAAGTCTCAACCAGACAATCCAGTGATCAACAGCATGAGCATCGATCTGCGGAATTGGGAACCGATGACGTGTCAACCAAGCCAGCGAGCCTGACCACCCGATCCTGTTAGTCGCCTCTTACGACAAGCATGGGTTACTGAAGGTTCATTCTAACCCAAACATTCACGGTTATTTACACATTGTAACCAACCCAGGATTTCAATGTGACGAACGGACCAATAGTCTGTCTACCCACCGCCCCCCATTTCTTGGAATCCTACTGGGGTATTCCTGAATGGGAACATGTATCTAACAAGCCAGTCATTATCTGTCTCAGCCAGATTTAATGTCCATCATCTGCTAAAGAGTGATTTTTTCAAGTTCAAAATTTCAACATTTAAACATTCCAAAAATGTCATCAGCCATTTACGAGACAATAAAGGGACAATTATCATGTTTGTTTAAGAGCAGCGTCTATGTTCACACATGGACAAGTCAGCCAAAATACCAACCAATTTCAAAAGATTATAGAAACCCCAAACATTTCTTTCATTCAGAACAACGAAATAATCCTTCATGGACACAAACATACCCCAGAAGCTTGTCGACCACAGTCTAGTCTTTGTTAAACCTGGCCCTACAAATCCAAGACATTTCCCCATGCTATTTTGAAGAAGATTAATGGCGGAGTTTCTAAATAGATAAACACACCGTAACAACGGAGTAATAAGACGTACAGTAATTATGCAGGTAATAAATGGGTACAATTATGACTCCAAATGACATTTTCCTTGCCAATGACCGACACGCATCTCAAACCCCTGTCATGAATTAACAACAAGAAAAGAGCTTTAGAAATGCTCCGTCTATTACACAAGAAATGGCTTTTAAGGTTTAATGGCACGAGGAACGATTGCTAGATTTAGTGGCATAAAGGCCTGTACAGTCCCTGTATGACACACAACGAGCATAGGTATAATTTGAACTAATTCCTAAAGGCCATCCCCGAAAAATATGAAACTTAACCAAGTGTAGCCGCAATTCATTAAAGCTCAAAGGATGAAGTTATTTTTTGACTGGCTTTTAAACTGTCACAACAAGGGTCTTAACTTATTTTCAAAGCCAAGCAAGGTCATTTATTTTTAAATATTTTTAAATATGCTTGAGAAAATACTCAAATGTACATTATGAACACAAAGAAAAGGTTGTATTTTATTCATTTCAAATTTACAATTCAAGAAAATAATACATACCAGTGAATCTGGAATTTGTATAATCTCCATTGAAAGTCTCGTCTAGGTTTGTGGAATCATAACCATTGTTTCATGAAGCTAGTTGTACAACTAATAGTACAAGGAGCACAATATAAAATGAGATTCTGCAGACAGTATTATACTAATAGTACTATTAGTACCAACGTGGGATGTGTGTAAAAAGTTATCTGAGCATTCAGATTACCCTAACTCTCAAGCCATAGTGTAGACTTGAGACAGTCCTAACCCTGAAATATACATTTAGTATACATTTAATATACTTGTAGCACTTAAAGACTATCACAACTCCCACACACTTTAAAATACATTTAATACAGTCATAGAACTTAAAGACAATCCTAACTCCCACACATTAAAATAACTCCCACACACTTTAAAATACATTTAATACTCAAGACAGTACATTTAATACAGTCATAGAACTTAAAGTAACTCACATACTTTTTAAAATACATTTAATACAGTCATACAACACTCCTAACTAAAGACAATCTAAGACAGTTGTGGCACTTAACTCACATACTTTAAAATACATTTAATACAGTCATAGAACTTAAAGACAATCCTAACTCCCACAAATTAAAATACCTCTAAGACAGTTGTGGCACTTAAAGACAATCGCAACTCACATACTTTAAAATACATTTAATACAGTCATAGAACTTAAAGACAATCCTAACTCCCACACATTAAAATACCTCTAAGAAGACAGTCAGTCACATACTTTAAAATACATTTAATACAGTCATAGAACTTAAAGACAATCGTCGTGGTACTTAAAGACTCACATACTTTAAAATACATTTAATACAGTCATAGAACTTAAAGACAATCCTAACTCATTAAAATACCTCACACACTTAAAATACCTCTAAGACAGTGTGGACAATCCTAACTCCCACACATTAAAATACTTAAAGACAATCGCAACTCACATACTTTAAAATACACATTTAATACAGTCATTTTACTTAAAGAGTACTTTAGAAGGTGACCACAATACCTGGCTAATGAGAGTGAGAACTTTTAAAATACATTTAAGACAGCTACAAGAAACAGGACTCAAATTGAGAATAATAGTTTACTAGATTCAGCTTTGAAGACACCTGATAAAAGCTCCTCCAATTCTTGTTCGAGAATACTAATCTCAGCTCTAAATCAAAATAATATAAAGACCATTTCTCTGACACTTTGGACAACTTTATCATCATATTCCGCAGGGACAGAAATAGGTATCCATTAAGACAGGAAACAACCTATTTATTATTGCAGAAAATTATTTTTCATAAATATCTTTTACTGCCCCAAATCTATCCTCCCTCTCCTTGATCAGATGGGTGCAAGGAGATATCCCTTCCATTTTCTTGTGGGCCCAAACATTAACCCTAATCCCTTTGGGGTTTCATAAATTATCCCTGTGCCACACACTGACACTTTACCCTGTATCCCAGGGTTAACTGTAGGTGACCTGTTGACACTGTGGTAGAGTGAATGAGTGAGTTAAAATTTAACGTCACCTCAGAAATATTTCAGCCGTATAGTGACGAGAAAGGTTTTACATGCACAATAAATATAAGTTGTTAAATAATCTGTCATCAAGGAATGTAAAATAACTAAAGTATCACAGATGGTGTCTAAAACTAGCATGTAAATCTAAAACTGTTTTATTTACAAGGACAATCAAATATAAACACAGGCTATAGGTCGCCAACAACTGAAGGTAGATCACCATACTAGGGACCATGGGACACTGTGGTAGAACTGTACTCTAAATGATAAACTAAATACAGCATGTCACTGCCTTTGTTTGGGAACTGAAATGCTGATCAAACTATGTAACTATGCTACTATGATGTAACATGATCATCTTACAGTAGTAGCCTTCTTAACAGCACTCATTTCACAACACAACATCCTTCTCATCCTCA